TCTTGATGCCATGTTCGGCCGCCACGGGGCCAGCTGGGCCCGTCTTCGAAGCATCCCGAGTCACCCTTGGTTGCCCTGGCTGCCTGCCTGGGCTGTCTCGGAGGCTCGGGGCGCGGATACACAGCTTGTGCACGAGGGATCGTGGCCTCGGGAACAGGGCGGGGGGGCCATGCGCCTGCAGTACTGCACGATTCTCGGTTCGTTTCGGACGGGATCGCCATCTAGCCCGAACGAGGCAAGCCCGGGCGGGCCGATTCGCAGCTCCGTTTGGACTGGATCTGGATCTGGTCCGCGCGACCCATTTTCAAGAAAAAAATACCAGATCGAGATCTGGTCCACTCGCCCTGCTTCGCCGTGGGAAGACCGCTGTGGGCCCTGGGATGCGCCTTGAAACGCGCCCTGGGCGGCACCCTGGGAAACGCCCTGGGGGACGCCATGGGAAGCGCCTTGGGAAACGCCTTGGGTAACGCCCAAGCGCACTGGAAAACGCTCTGGGGGGCGCCCTGGGATGCGCCCCCCTAGGAAGCGCCCTGGGGGGCGCCCGGGAAGGCGCCCTGGGAAACGCCCTGGGCAGCGCCGTGGGAAACGTTATGGCAAGCGTCATGGGGAGAGCCCTGGGGGTCGCCCGGGAAGGCGCCCTGGGAAGCGCCCTGGGAAACGCTCTGGAAGTCGCCCTGGGAAACGCTCTGGGAGGCGCCCTGGGGGGAACGGTGGGGGGGGCGTTGCAGGGGGGCGCTTGGAGGGGGGGCGCTGCATGGCGCCTTGGGAGGGGTTGCTGGGAAATGCCCTGGCGGGCGCCCTGGGTGGAGCGTTGGGAAGCGCCCTGGGGTGACCGCTGGCAGGCGCGTTGGCGAACAGGAAACTATAACTGTTTGTTATATTTTTTCTCCCCGCCCACCGTAGACTGCGCGGGCCTAATCGAAAACGGGGACAGGAACGGCAGCCGCACTGGTGCGCTTGGAGACAGGAAACCATTGCTTGTGTGAAGTAATCTTCTCCCCCTAACCGCCGTAGAATGCGCGGGCAGAATCGAACGCGGGAGCGGGAACGGTAGCCGCAAAGGTGCGCCCGGAAGCAGGAAACGATGGTTTTTGTTTGAAATCGCATTCTCTTCCCAACCACCGTAGACTGCACGGGCGGAATCGAAAACGGGAGCGGGAACGGTAACCGCACTGGTGCGTTTGGAAAGAGGAACCTATCGTTTTTTTGTTGCCGGATCCCCTCCTCCCAACCACCGCAGATTGCGCGGGCGGGATCGAAAAACAGGAGCGGGAACGGTAGCCGCAATGGTGCAGGAAATGATACCCTTTTTTGGACGGATCCCCTCCACCATCGTACATTGCTCGGGCGGAATCGACAGCGGACGCGGGAGCGGTCCACCCAATGCCGTGTCTGGAAGCAGGGGATTATGAATTGTTTTCAAGAATCTGCTCCGCCCACCCGCCGTAGATTGCGCTGGCGGGAGCGCAAACGGATTGGAAGGAGCTGGTGGCCTTGTGTTTGAACGTTCCTCTCCGCCCCACCACCGGAGAACGCACGGGCAGAATTGGAAACAGGCGCAGAAACAGTTGCCGCAATGGCGCGCTTGGAGGTAGGAGACGATGGTCGTTGTTTGAATGCTCATTTCTCCAACCACCGTAGATTGCGGAGGCGGACGCGGAAGAGGGCGCAGAAACGGTCGCCGCAACGGTGCGTTTGTGAGCAGGGGGCCATGTTGTCATAGTGTTGATATGATTGTCCGCTCCTCCGACCCATCATAGACTGCGCGGGCGGAAGCTAAAAGAGGCGCAGCAACGGTCTCAGCAATTGTGCGTTTGCAAGCGGGAGATCATGTGTGTTTTTTGTGTATATGTGTATGTGTATGTGTATGTGTATGTGTATGTGTATGTGTGTATGTGTATGTGAATGTGTACGTCTACGTGTACGTGTACGTGTACGTGTACGTGTATGTGTATGTGTATGTGTATGTGTATGTGTATGTGTATGTGTATGTGTATGTGTATGTGTATGTGTATGTGTATGTGTGTATGTGTATGTGTATGTGTATGTGTATGTGTATGTGTATGTGTGTGTATGTGTATGTGTATGGGTATGTGCATGTGCATGTGCATGTATATGTGTATGTGTATGTGTATGTGTATGTGTATGTGTATGTGTATGTGTATGTGTATGTGTATGTGTATGTATGTACGTAAGTATGTATGTATAAATGTATGTATGTATGTGTGTGTCTGTGTGTGTGTGCGTGCGTGCGTGCGTGCGTGCGTGTGTGTGTGTGTGCTTTTTCCTGATTTCTCTTTTCACCCAGCCACCATAGTTCGCGCGGGCGGAATCGAGAGCGGGCGCGGGAACGCACGCCGAAGTGATGCATTTGCAGCAACCAGGAGGTCATGCGTTTTCGTGTTTTTGAACTGCATGCTCCTATGACCCACCGTGGGATTGCGCGGGCGGAATCGCAAACGAACTCGGAAACAGTATCCCAAATGGGGCGTTTGGACGAAGAGGCTATAGCTGTTGTTTGAATTCGCCGTTCCTCCCAACCGCCGCCGATTGCGCGGGCGGGAGCTAAAACGGACCAAGGAACAATGGTCGCAATGGCGCGTTTGGAAGCGGGAGGTTTTCTCGCTTCGCTTACCCAACGTAGACTGCGCGGGCGAAAGCTAAAAGGACGGGACAACGGGAGCTGCAATGGCGCTTCTGCAAAGGGGAAATACCCCTTTTCATTATTCTCGTTCTTTCCAGCCGCTGTAAATCGCGGGCAGGGGCGCAACGCGGCGATAATCACAGCCGTCCGCCCGCGGCCGGAGGTGCACGGGGAGGCGAAACACACAAGTGGGCACAGTAGCACACATGATGCGTTTTACTGTTTGCTCGAGGGGGGGAAGGGCTGTTGGTTTTCTTCTTCGTCGTAAAATGCGCAGTCGGCCAGGAGAAATTGACCGCGGACGCTGCGCCCGCAATGATGTGCTTCCACGTCGGACAGTTGTTTGTAGACTCGATTTGTCCTGAGGCGTGCGCGCCCACCGCTGATTCTGTCGATGTTTGGTATGGCGCTTCTTTTGTGGGTGTGCAATCCTGTTCTGCGCGGGGAGATCGTGTTTCGTTCCGTTCTGGACCCTGAGTCGGACCATGTTGGATCTAGAATCGGTCCGCTGTGGATCCTGAATCGGCCACCTGCTGGGCCTTGAGCCGGCCCAAACTACCTTCTGAACCGATCCGCGCCGGAGCCTGAATCGGCCCCTTGCTGGACTGAATCGGTCCGTACTGAATCGTGACTCGGCCCGTCTGGCTCCTGAATCGGTCCATGCTGGATCGTGAATCGGTCCAGCCTGGATTCTGAATCGGCCCTGCGCTGGACTCTGAATGGATTTGCACGAAACCGTGAAGCAGCCGCAGCTGGATCCCGAAACGGCCCGTTACTGGACCCGGGACCGATTCGCACGAGATGCCTGTCGGAAGTCGGCGAATCCTGGATTCCAGACCAGTCCAACCGGGAGGTTTCCCGAAATCTCCTGCGGCTTCCCTGCGGCTTCAGGCCTCCGGCCTCCCGGAGTTTCCTGAGGTGTCCTGCGTCCGTCTGGGGCCTCCTGATGGCCAGACGCCACAACTGCGGATATGAGCACATGTGGAGGAACAACTGCTCTTGTGATGTTGGGTCTACACCCTGCGAAATGCTTAAGAAATCATGGGTTAAGAAATTCATAGTCTCAGAACTTGAATAAAACCCCAACATTTCTATCAAAATCTTGGGATTCACATTGAAACGTCAAGAATAATCGAGACTCTGGCCGAAAATTTAAGTTTTCTTAAGCATCGCCTAAGGTGTACCTCCATCCCGTTTCCGTTGCCACGCCGGGTATTCCGTCATGCGCACCACTGCAGAATTAGTGTATGCTGTTGCCGTGCTCGGAATCATGTTTCCAACATTGGTACATCCGCAGCGGTGAGGATGTCCCGAATAGTGTGGCGCCCCGCTTGCCAATTGTCGATCTATCGCCGATCTCAGACCACTCCTCCCAACTTCTTCGGACTCCTCCGCGCTCGTCCGCTGCACCCCCCCACTCGCAGATCTTGGGCCATCTTGGAGTATCGTGGTGTATCTTGGGACATCTCGAGCAATCTTGGAGACCATCGTGAGCTCCCTTAGGTCATTTTAGAACCATGGTGACTCAAGCGCCCCTCAAGGATGCCCACGAAATGCCAACATCTATGAAACACCTTCCAATATTAACTAGTGTGGCTTTGAGCGCATGGGGCGTTAATTAGCATTGCCCGTCTTGAGCCATAAACGTCGCCTCTTGGTGCTCTCTTGGGGCATCCCTTGTGGCCGTCTTGAAGCGTTCTCGGGGCCGACTCGGAGCTCTCCTGGGCCTCTCTTGGGGCCCACTTTGAGGGCATCATGACAGCGCATCACGAACTGATGACTAGGCTCCATAACGGTTCGCTTGGGGGATACAACTCCGAAACATTGACCGCAAAATCGTTCGCGGACGCACGGGGAGTAGTTTCTTGCATTTGCACTTGCACTTGGAGCGTCTGCGGCGCGCACGGCTTGCCGTCGGAGGTCTGTCGGGGGGGGGAGGGGCAGGCGACCACGAGGCGAAATTACCCCCGCAGCGACTTGCACTAAGCATACGGCCCTGGCTGAAGGGGATGTGAGCGGACGCGTTCTGGCCTCCGCCTCCTCCTGCTCCTCCTCCTCCTCCTCCTCCTCCTCCTCCTCCTCCTCTCCCTCCTCCTCCTTCTCCTCCTCCTCCCCCTCCTCCTGCTTCTCCTCCTCGTCCTCCTCCGCCTCCTCCTGCTCCTCCTCCTCCTCCTCCTCCTCCTCCTCCTCCTCCTCCTCCTCCTCCTCCTCCTCCTCCTCCTCCTCCTCCTCCTCCTCCTCCTCTCCTCCTCCTCCTCCTCCTGCTCCTCCTCCTCCTCCTCCTCCTCCTCCTCCTCCTCCTCCTCCTCCCCCTCCTCCTCAACCTCCTTAACCTCCTTGGTCACGCCTGCGGTACTTCAATGGTTTGGTTGAAATCGCCATCGGAGTACGAATGACCCATAGACTCCAGCTGCCAAGAAGACGAACCCTCGAAGTTCAGACCGCCCGGATAAGCCACCAAAGCGTCGCAACTGCCACTCTCCCTGCACATTATCCGCCACCGTGAACCCGGCACGCTGAGGCGTGGTACGATGCCAAGTCCTAAGGGACCCCCCCTCCACCCCACGCCCCCAAGAAGCCTCCAAAAAGCCTACAAGAGGCACCGAACAGGCACCCAAGGTCTCCAAGAGGCCAGATGTGCCACGGCCTCACATGGCCCCTCGAATGGTCACCAACCAGAATGGGCTGGCATGGTGGCGGGACTTGCCGCAGGCAGCTGGACAGAGTGGGCAGCAAGTCCGTGAGATTCGACAAGAGGTCCAAGTTCAACATCGTCCGCAAGACGCTGCGCTGAATGGAGAGCCCACGGGCTGCTGAAGCTGACGTGCGAGCTGTTGCAGTGCAAGGCTGTCACTTCGAAAAAACTGACGGGCTCCGGCCAAGCAGCTGTGAGTCGCCGAGCGTGCCCTTCCATTTCCAGCTCCATTTCCTTATGCTCCTCCTCTATGTCCTCCTCGTACCTGGAGACAGGAGGCGTAAATTGAACCTCTGAACCCCCGCGATTTTGTCGGAACCTGCAAACGACCCCTCCTCCTCCTCCTCCTCCTCCTCCTCCTGCTCCTCCTCCTCCTCCTCCTCCTCTTCCTCCTCCTCAATGATCGGGCAGGCTGCGCTAAGTGTCGCTCAGTTCCCTCCCGCCTTCGATGAAACCATCTAGAAGAGACGAGACGCGACGCTCCTTCTTGGAGACGAAACGCCCCTTGGGCTGACCTCTACTCGCATCCTTATGCCTATGAGCATGTACTAAAACTCTGCCGTCTAGCCGGCCGATTGCGGTACAATCCGAGACCTTCCGTCCGATCCACAAACCAATACAACGTCTACGCCTGCTTCCTGCCAGCAGGGACACGTGGCGGGAATGTGACGTGGCGCACAGCATGCGCGAGGTGACGACACGTAGCTCTCGCCTCGCTATGGCGCTCCCGCTTGGGCGCGGCGCATATTTTTTGTTCGCCCGGTCGTCGGAAGCATAGCGGGGCCCGCGAGAGCAACATGTCGCGTTCGCGTGTGCCGATTTCGCTCGGCAGTTGCGCCCCTGGTTGGGCGGTGCACCTTTTGTCCCCGCCAGTCCGTTCCCAAACCTTTTTGCCCCCCCCCCTCCCCACGGGTAGACAAGCACGTTCCACCACAACGCACTGGCAGAGCAGCAGCTGCTCGCGAACGGCCGGGATCCTCTGCATCGAGGCGGGCAGGCTCCGCGGCATCGGGGCGAACATCTGTTTTTTTTTTCTTGACGCCTGCGAGGAGGCACCCTGCGAATATTGGAGCGCGCCCGGTGAAATTGGGGACACCAGAAGGTACCGATTCCGCTACTCCCCTGGCCTCTCCTGGGGTGCGCTCTGACCAGGATTTCGAGGCGAACCCAGCGGTGGCGACGACGGAGGCCCAGGAGGCCCAGAACAAGGGGAAACGAGGGGAGGGCCGAGGCGTGGACACCTCTTTCCTCCTCTGAAACATCGCCTCAGCACTGCACTAGAAGTCCCCCCCCCGGGCGCCACCCCCTGGTGGGCGCCGCCAAGGGATGTTGGGAGGAGGAGGAGGAGGAGGAGGAGGAGGACGAGGGGGAGGAGGAGGAGGAGGACGAGGAGGAGGAGGGAGGAGGGAGGAGGAGGAAGGAGGAGGAGGAGGGAGGAGAAGAGGAGGGAGGAGGAAGGAGGAGGAGGAGGAGGAGCAGGAGCAGCAGGAGGAGGAGCAGGAGGAGGAGGAGGAGGACGTGAAGTCTCTGGGGGGCTCGGCTTCCGCCCGTGCGCGGCCCGCGGATCGCTCTTGCCGCCGCGTCGCAGGGGCGGCGCCGCCGCTCGCGCGCGGGCGCGTCTCCCGCTACTCGCTGGGCGGGAGCGCGCGCCCGTGCAGCGGCTGGCCGTGCCGGGATGTTTTTCTCGGGAGGGGGGAAAACACAGACACAGAGAATCGTCGACACCCAGGAAGAGGAGGGGAACGTATGGAAAGTGGGGGGGAAACGAAACTCCAGAGCATGTGACGAAACGTGGAGGATCCTAGGATTTGTGTGTGGATTCCTCTGTGTGTCCCTGGGCCCCTTCGGTGTTCTTACATTATGGCGAGGGTGGTGGCAGTGGGCGGGGCCCCTGACGCGCTCGTGCTGGCCACCATAACTCACCGTCCTACTCCTCCTCGTGCTGCTCTCCCTTGCCCTCACAATGCTCCTCCTCCTCCTCCTCCGCCTCCTCCTCCTCCTCCTTCTCCTCCTCCTCCTCCTCCTCCTCCTCCTCCTCCTTCTCTGTGTTCCATTCCGTTCTCTCCTCCGTGCTCCATTATGTTCTCTCCTCCGTTCTATCATCCGTCGTTCTCCTCCTCTTACTGTTCCTCCTTCCTCCTCCTTCCTCCTCCTCATTATCAGATCCACCAGCACCATCAATATCACCATCGTCATCATCACCGTTACCAGGATCATCATCAGCAGCACCATCATCATAACCACAATCAATATCACCATCCAACTATCTAGCATATTCATTGTTTGATTGCTACTTTTCTTCCTCCTACGGCCCACACTACTATGAATCCGACTACTACTACTACTACTACTACTACTACTACTACTACTACTACTACTACTACTTACGACTACTACTACTACTACTAATACTACTACTACTACTACTACTACTACTAC